CGCCTCCCGCACCCCTGGGACCTCGGCCCACCTCCTCCGGCAGGGCGGGCGCAGGCCCAGCGGGACTCCTCAGGCTAAATCTCAGGCTTCACATTGCAATGAGGGTTGCAGCTTTATTTTTAGAGAGAGACACACCTACTGCTTCTTTTCTAGGAGAAACCCGGTTACTGTTAACGTGGACACACACGGGACGGCTTCCGTGGGAGGGAGAGTATATGACGGAGTGACTATTCTGTATGGAGAGTATTTTTATTTTCTAAATGCTGTAATTCGACACCATTTCCATAAATCTATTTACGGACTGCAGCCCCTTGTTGCCCCTGTGAACGTGGAAGCTGGGGGGCTCTGGGCTCTGGGGACAGTCCAAGGGCAGGACCGGCTTCCTCCCCACCAGCCGCAGGAGGAGGGCGGCTCCCCATGCCCCACTCACCCCTTCGAGGGCTCCAGCGGGCCACTGCCCCGGGGACTGCGGTCACTCTGCCCTCTGCAAGGCTGGCCACCCAGGGGCAGAGCCAGGCCCTGGGGGTGCAGAGGGGTGAGTCTAAGGCAGTCTCCTCGCTCAGGAAGGATCTACGAGGCCTCCTGCCCCCCACAGCGGGGTCAGCCCCGCCAGCCGGCCTGGCACCCTGAGCAGGTCAGCCTTCCTGAACCTCGGTTTCCCCACCGTCACCATCATCACCCTTCCTGTCCCTGCTTTCTGAGTGCTTCCCTCCACTCCCCACGACGGCGCCTCAGGGAGCAGCACCCCCACAGCGCTGGTGGGGAGTGACGCTCAGGGAAGTGGGCGGGCCCTGGGCTTGGGAGGTCACCCGGGAGGCAGGCCAGCGCCCTGTGCTGAGGAGGCCGCAGCACTGGCCCTGGGGCTGTGCCTAGGGCCACTTCCGGGGTCTCAGCTCCGGAGACAGGCCCTCCACCCGCATCGGGCACTGGGCTGGCAGCAGGAGGAAGGCTGGACCTTCCTCCTGAATTGCCCACCTCACCCTGCTCTGGGCTACGCACAGGCCTGGGAGAAGGCCAGCATGCTCGCCAGCACCCTCCTTACGCTTCCAGTAACAGCCGGGGGCCCTGGGCCTGGCTGCCCACCCCCACCCCCAGGGGGCAGGTCACCAAGATGAAGGGCCTGGCAGGGAGCACCCAGAGGTCCCTATCCAAGGGGGCTCAGAGGTGGGGGAGGAAGGGCAGAGAGCCACCATGCCTGGCTGTGAGGAGGCCGCCCTGGGGTAGGAGAACGGGGAAGCCCCGACCGGTCCACCCCTCCCGCTGCTGCTCAGCTCAGTGCACCCCCCACACTCCCTGGCCCCTGGAGGGGCCCCTGCTGCCTGCCCCTATTTGTGGCTCATCTGTCCCCACAGACATGCTCAGGTCCAGCCAGCCTGCTGTCCGGCCCCGCCCACATCCCCTGGGAAACCCCAGGTGGGCAGCCACCCACCCCAGCTGGCTGTGTGACCCTGGCGGGGGTGAGGGGCACGTGAAAGGAAAAGACTGTTATGATGTCTGAAGAAGGTGATGAAGGCCAAGTGGGTGGGGCAGGATTGGGGGGTCCTTCCCCCTCCTTTCTGTGGCCCAGGGTCCCTGCTATAGCCCCCAATGGCCACCAGGGGGCGCCCATCCACCCGCCTCCTCTCCCAGAGTGGCCTGATGACCAGGTGCTGGGGGCCACTGGGGTGCTGCCTGCAGGGGTGCCCCACTGCGGACGGGCACTCCAGGTCCAGACAGGACACCAGCACAGCCACACCCGCTGGCCAGGCCCTAGCGTCTGGGTTCCTTAAGGGGGTGGAGGGTCCAGAGAGGGTCCTGGCCCAGCAGAGACCACAGGCAGGGCAGACACAACCCAAATGGCTCAGGGAGAGGGAGAGCGGGGTCCTGGTCGGGACTGGACCCCAGGGCAACACCTTGGAGGGGCGGCTCCACCTGCTCTCTGGCCTCTGCAGCGAAAGCTCGGGGAGGTGGGCAGGACCCCACTCACATGACCTAGAGGCGCTTGTCTCCTGCCAGGCCTACCCAGAGCCACCTCCTCCAGGCAGCCTTCCCATTCAGTGGTGGCCCCAGCCCCGGCCCTCACACACATTCTCAGAGCAGAGCCCAGGTCTGTCCCTTCGCAGGGGCCAGCGAGCCGGTCAGAACCTCTCCCGGCTCTGAGGCGGGAGAAACGGGTTCCAGGCCTGCACGGAGCAGTCGCTCACTCAAACACGAGCAAGGCTTTGGGTTCATTTGCTCCCAAATGGGGAGGGGAGCTCAGGCTGGAGCCCGCCCCTGAGCTGGGCAAGGATGGGCACCCAGACACTCCAGACCGGCCCTGCCCGTGGGCCTGCAGGTCCGGGGTCACTGAGCTGGCTGTGGCG